AAAGACTATGCCTTTTCTGGATGATGTTCCTATAAAAGGATGCAGAGAAGGAGACAAGAATGAAACTTTAGATACGAGGGGGTGTCGCAGATATGTTGTTGATCATATACAAGATTGTGAAAAGATTTTAACTCGGCTTGGAGAAGTTCATCTTACATTATCGGTTATGAAGTCCGTATTTGGAATACGAGAGGTTGTAATTGTTGGACATTTATGTGGATCTTACGGAATAAAATCAAATCCGACTAAAGTTGATGCAATTGGAAGGATGAAAGAGGATTGTGATTCTTTAACAGAGGTTTGCAGGTTTTTGGGTGGATGTGTATTTTATCGAATCTGGATCCCTCATTTTGCTCACATAGCGGATCCATTATATGAACTGTTACGCAAGGGTTACCGATTTAAATGAGAAGAAAGGCATATTGAGGCAATGCAAAGATTGAAGAAATTATTGATGTCACCTCCAATATTGAGGAAGGTTGATTATAAGCGCAATAGACCAGTGATTCTTACTATAGACGCTAGTCCAATTATCGTTGGATGGGCGGTGGGTCAAGATGATTCGAATGGGAGTAGATTTGCAGTTCGATTTGGGGCTAAAGTTTTAAGTATTCGTCAGCGTGCATATTCGCAAGTCAAAAGAGAACTTTGGGGAGTCGTTTCGGCTATGAAAGCTGAAAAGGACTATTTGATTGGGGCAGTAGTAGTAATTGAAACAGATTGCTTGCCATTGCTTGGAATGATTATTAACTGTTCAACGCCAGATATTGCAATGTTGAGATGGATTGCTTATATTAAGTCACTAAATCCAGAATTTAAGCATATTACTGGGAAGGACAATTTAGTAGCAGACATGCTATCTCGAGCAAGATACGAGAGGGAGGACGAAATGATTGAAGACATTGATGACGTCGGATTGAAATTCTATTCAATATCAAATCTCAATAGAGAAGACAAGCTATTTCTTGAAGAATCTTATGAAGGAGAATTATTGGATATTGGTCATTACTTGAATACCTTGACTAAGTACGGGAATTGGTCTACAGAAAAATTCAAACAAATAAGAAAAAAAAGCATATGGATTTTTACTTCGAGATGGATTCTTATGGAAGAGACCGAAAAAAGGAATTGGGATGCCACAACGAGTGATAGGCAAAAAAGAAAAAAGACTAAAATTATTAAAGGAGTTTCATGATAGTTTATGGGCAGGGCATAGAGGAATCTGGGCTACTTTTGCTAAACTCAAGGAACGATATTGGTGGAAAAATATGTATCGAGATGTGCTCTCATTTGTAGAGTCATGTGTAATCTGTCAATCGTATTCTAATATCCGACATCGAGATGGTCTTCATTCTACGTATCCTTTGGCTATTCATTTCAAATGGGTTGTTGATTTGGTTATAATGTCAGTTGGGTTATGGCAGATGAGATATTTGGTTTTAGCTCGTGAAGATTTATCAAATCAAGTAGAAGGAAGAGCATTGAGGACAAAATCTACAGAGGAGATTTGTAGGTTTTTGCTTGAAGATGTCATTTGCCGATACGGATGCGTATGAAAAGTCACTGCAGATCGTGGAGAATTAAATGCACAAGAAGCTCGTAAGTTCTTTGAAAGATGTGGAGTTAAACTATCACTGACTACTGCTTATAATCCAGAAGGGAATGCAAAAAGCGAATGCGGTCACCCACCGATTGTGAAAGCCTTAGTTAAAACTTGTAATGGGAAAGTTAAAGAGTGGCCACAGCTTTTGTCATTCGCATTATGGGCTGATCGAACAACACATAGTTCGGTGACAAGATATATGCCAGTAGAACTTATGACAGGTCAAAAACCAATTATGCCGATTGAAGAAAAAGTACTTACTTGGAGTATGCTACCATGGGAAGATGGATTGACAAGAGAAGAACTTTTGGCTATTAGGATTCGACAATTGGAGCAAAGAACGGAAGATGTCCAGATAGCATTGGAAAGGTTAAAAAGAGTTAGGTTACAAAACAAGGCGCAATTCGATAAGCAACATCGATTGAGACCAAAAGCAATCGAGGAAGGTGACTGGGTACTTGTTTATGACAATAGTCTGGATAATCAACATAGTACTTTGCGAAAATTTTCAAAATGTTAGTTTAGGCCATATGTGGTAACAACAGATCATGATAATGTGACTTACTCGTTACGAGAGTTAGATGGTACAAAATTGAAAATACCAATTGCAGGAAAGCAAGTAAAAATATTTAAACGAAGACATGCGGAGATGAATATGGAAGACCTTAATGAAGGTATAGAGATTCCGCAGCAAGAAGATGAAAGTGATTTGGATAATGAAGGTGACGAAGACGAATTGGGCAAAGAAGTAGAGGATATATTCTGAATCAAACAGCAATTGGGTAAACAGGTGCATACTGGAGGATGCACAGGTTCAGAGGGAGTGGATGTCGTGTTGTAACACGAGTATACCGTGAAAATAAAAAGAAAAGGAAATTTTATTAATGTTCAGTTACCTCGTATATTGGGAGCAATGACCAACTCTAGTGCAAATACTGAGTGGTCAGGTTCAGTCACTCCATTACAGTCAGCCGGGGCATACTGAAATGCTCCGTTCGATTCCAATAACGGGAGTCAGCAGGAAGGAAAAGGACCAATTCACCCGACGGGTGAGCCTGGTTCGAAGAGCCAATTGGATCCAATTTCAAGAATCCAATCCGGGTCCTCTTACCCAATATGAGACTTGTATTGGTCGGGCAACCCAATGCAGTCTGATTATGGAAAAATCCAGGTCTTACTACGGGTCCTCTTACCCAATATGAGACCTACATTGGTCGGGCAACCCAATGCAGTCTAATTACGGGGAAATCTGGGTTTTACTATTGGACTCTTATCCAATATGAGACCTGAATTGGTCGGGCAACCCAATGCAGTCTAGTTACAAAAAAATCCAGGTCTTACTACGGGCCTCAGCTAGTCTGACGCGAAGACCAATTTGACCCAATTACGCGAACATCCAGGTTACTACGGGCATCTTACCCAATATGAGACCTGAATTGATCGGGCGACTCAATGTGGACCCGAGTACGGGATTTCGATTCTGTTTGAGGCTGTCCTATTCTCTGTCTCGTTTCAGGGAACGTTATTTTCGGTAAATGGATCTCTTAAAGGTAGAAACGGAGGAGAAAGCTTTGATGGCGAGAGCCAAATTCGGATCTAAGCTCTGACGGTGGGAGCCAATTCCGGATCCAAGACGGAAGATTAAAGAAATTCAAAAGAAAAGGTTAGGGGGAGAATAAGTTTTGGGGAGGGTTTTTTTTTTAAGATCAGAGGGGGGGGGGGTTTTAGATCGGGAAGCTAGCTTCAAGTTTTTTTCAAGGTTACTAGTTCAGTTTCATTAGAGGTTTTTTGAAGATTAGGGGAATTGGAGAGGAGCTTCATGCTTCAGGTCGGGGAAGAAAAGACAGAGAATTGGATTTTTCTTCTTCATAGAGTTTTGGGAAGACAGAGGCAATCGTTGCTGAAGTCAGTGTTGTAATGGTGAATCGAGATTTTTAATGAAGTGGGTTTGATTACTCTGACTGTTTTGTGAAATCGAGTTACGTCTGTGATTGAAGGATTAAAAAGGTGTCTATAGGATTGAGTATGCAGAGTGAATGAAATTTATTGGGTTAATCTAACAAGACAGTCAATGGATTCAAGATCGTAAGTACAAAGCGGTATCGAAGATTAGCAGATTGGGTTGTTCGGGGTTCTCTGTAACGTCTAGAGACCTATCGGCTGGAACAAAAAGGACTTCGATAAGCAGTCGAAGGGCATTCGTATAGATTTACGGTGTATTCTTGCAGTCGTTTATATTCCAGCAGTCAAAAACTGATAGACTCCTTGACTATTGGCGAATCTCCATACTACCTTCTACAGCCAGACGCTCGGGGCATTCTCGAGCAGGAAAGCACGTAATATGTTAACGTTGGAATAGGCGATTATCGTACTTTACAGCTTGGCTAATGGCTTCATTGAGCGTTCGTGGATCAGAAAGAGTTAACAGCAAATCCTTCACATCATCTCTTTAACCCCAATAGAATTGATTGGACTATTGCAACATTCTAATTGCACTATTGCACTATTGCAACATTCTAATTGAAACAACCAAGCTATAGTACAAGTTGACATAAGAGCAACCTTGAGCTGCCACCATCTTCACTAAGAAGCACTACTATCTCATGTCTAGATTTCCTCGCGTGCAAAATTTTGACCACTAAAATAAGAATGTGTAGATTTAGTGAGCCTAGAATGCATCCATCCTACAGCCAAGCTCAATGTAATTCTAATTGCAATCAATGCCTAATTGCCACAACAAAACACATGAAAAGGGTTAGCTTTTGCCACTTAAGAATCACCAAAACAACTTACATGTTGTTTTAAAACAAAAGAGTGTAAAATGAGTGTTAATTGTCAAGTGTTAGTTTTAAAGAAGTGAAAAAAATGTCAAACAAAAACAAAATAGAGTTAGTAAATGAATCATGGTGATGTGTAGAAAATCTAGTATAAATTTCTAAATAGAAGCATCTTGGAGGACATTAAATTGGTACCTTTAGAGTATCTTGGGAGCATCTAGAAAGAATCTAGAATATTCAAGATTCTAGAATTAAAAAGTCGTATATAATATAAATACATCTAGGATATGTAATAAATATTATAGAAGATTCTATATGGATAGGAGTACAAATACGACAAATTGTAGTACTAAACATGATATACAAAACACAAAAAATAGATACAATTTATCATAGCCATATAGTGGAAAATACAGCTGGAAGACGGTATTGATATGGCATTGTTACAATATATATGATGCTGGAAAAGGTGTTGGATACGATGCTAACATCGTAGGAATATAATACAATATAGTATGGGTTGCAGTGGATGTATGCTCGGGTAGCGGCATTGCCGGATACCTACGTTGAATATGTTCCTGAGTATTAGACTGGTATCGGACCAGAGATATTGGCTTCCCCATCCTTTGCCGCTAGGGGCTGGTTTGGAGAACAGATTTGACCCATCTTTTTTCTTATTTTTTTCCTTCCTGAATTCTCTTGATCTCCGAGCGCTTCGGAGCTTCCTACTTGTTATTTTTCTTTGCCCTCGTGGAGTGCTGTGGTGCAGCATGTCCTTGTGTTTCCTCTCTCTTCTTCGTTTGTGTTCTTCCTTTGTTAGCTGTGGAAGCTGCAGCGATCCCAAAAGCTCCATTTTTGGTTTTTTTCTTTTGTTGTTCTATTGTGACATTGAGGCTATCCAGTTGCAGTTGTGCTAGCTACTGGGGAAGAGATTGGGCAACGATGAAGTATCGTTATTGGGAACTTCGGCGACAGCGGTTGCCTAGCTACGTCGATGACAGCTGTTGGCAAGAGGCGGTTGAGATTCTCCTTCAGCGGCGTCTTAGCAAGCTGCCGGTTTTGCGGTTTAGATTTTAGTTGGCAGCTTAGTGAGTTAAGGGGAATTGTAGTGTTTCTCTACTAGTGTTGTGGTTGTTGTGACCAAGGCACAACGGTTGGATTCTTATGATTAAAGTTGTCGGCTACAGGCTCTAATCTGATCTGGTTTGGTTATTCTAATTCCTTGCGTCTAGCTTCTCGTGCATTTACTTGGTTGTGGAGATCTTCTTCGGTATAGTGATTCTTAAAAAAAATCCTCTCGTTTTGGTACTGGTGACGACAGTGTCGTCGAAGCAGCGACCTGCTCCTGTTGGGGTGTCTTTTCCCTAGGAGGTGAATTCAAGTTGAGATGGGGTTGCTGTCGTGGTCTGGTGGTGGCGATGGTTCCCTTTTTCAAGTGGCGAGGTTGCAACGGAGCTGATTCTTATCTCCTGCGGCATTGACTCATCTTGGCAAGGGCATGCTGATTCTCTTCATTGACACTCACTAGACCGGTGGTTGGTTCACATTGCACGATCTAAGGCCTGCTGAACTAGCAGATTGCCTCATTTGAAAACTTGGGTATTGTTCATTGTTCTCTGAATTGCGGTGGTGATCGACAATGGTGTGGTCTGCACCAAAGGAGCTTGCGATTTTGCAAGCTTGAAGAGGCGCTGGAGGGTGGTGAGTGGCAACAAGCTGTATTTTTCATTAATCCAATTCAGCACAAATTGGGCTTCGAAGCCAAGGTCAACTGTGGTGGCGACGAAACTCACAACAAGGGAACCTGTTGAATTGATCAGTCCAGAGGAGGAGCAAAGGCTGAAGGACGGCCTCCCTGTCAGCGTTGCAGATCGGAAAGGATTAGAGTCCCCCTCAAAAATATCCGAATTGTTATGAGAAAGTTCAAACATATGTGGAAAGGAGCAATTTATTTACAATTTAAATGGATGGTTATTACATAAACAACTTGGACTAGAAACAATTGGACGTAGATGTGATTGGATGAATTAGGGTAGAGTTGAATGAACTTAGGCTAATGATGGATGAAAATCGGCAGATGAATTTCGATTAAAGGTAGATGCATTTTCATTTGTGGATGAAAAGTCATTTGTAAATGAATATTCAATTATAGATGAGAAATTGCCTTGGATGAAATTTATTCTTGGAGGATTTTTTTATTACTAGATAAGTAAAAAAGAAAATAAAAATTGGATTAAAATAAGATAAACATTATAAAAACAATTTTCTCTTAAGTGCATGTGGCTTTTATATTGCGGATTGTGATTATTTGAGTATGAATTTGATTTGTAAGAGAGGTTAATTTCTCTTAATAAGAAGTAGAATTTTTTTTAATTTAATCATTCATAAATTAATTAGTAGTTGTGAATTAGATTAATTCACCTTCTTGGGTGGTTTATTTTATTTCACAATTAGAATGTTATAAAACTTCTTAGACATTAAATTAAACACTTAATAATTGTTAAATTATTTAGATAATTAAATCATTGTGAATTAGAGTAGACTTCCAACTATTAGGGATTTATTTTACTTTACAACACTTTAGAAAAAAGAAAAAAAGAAACCAAAACAAAACATGAATAAACTTGGATGTAGCTTTCCAACATAGCACACATCCATAGTATGCACAATACAGTAAGGGAGTGCAACTCACAATTCTACCTCATGAGGAGATCTCAAAATAAAAAATGAAGTGGGGCAGAATGCAATTGGAGTCAAAAACCACCCTAGATCCTAGCAATCTCCTTTGAGAAATTTGGTTGGCCTCATTTGGCTAGAAATATTCCTTCTTTTTTTTCTTTTACCTTATCTTTTTTTTTTTACTGTTTTCTTTTTGCTCTCTTCTTCAACTTTTATTTTTTATTTTCTTTTTTCCTTTTTCTTTCTCTCCTACTCTTCATTTTTATTTTTTCTTTCTCTTCCTACTCCTTTTTATGTTTTCTCTTTTCTTTCTATTTTATTTGTCTAAAACTATGAAGATGTATTTTTTTTTTTTTTTTTTTTGGATTATTTTGGATTAAGAATGCTACCTTAACTTTCTAATCTAATCACAACAAGCAAAGACCACAAAACCTATTTCTACAACAATCATTCTAATCTCTATTTGTTCATGAATTCTTACACTACTTATGAGTTATGGAATTAACTCACTTATGTATTTTAGTACAAAAAATACACTTTTAGTACTTTAAGTCACTAGTTTAAGGTATTAATATAAGAAAATTTTGGAATAAATAGCAACAAATAGAATATCATTGACTAGAATGGATCTCTTCCAAATTTTTTTGGAAAAGAATTTTAAAATGTATAGTCTCTCATCAATTTAGCTAATATAAATCCTTATTTGATAGTTGTATTTTTTATTATCATTAAAAAATTTAAATTAGGTAAGAAATAGAGGTAGAATCTTTGATTTAAAACATCCAACCAAAAAAAAGAAACCAAAAAAATTAGTTCCAAGTTTGAGAGGACCTCTTTTATTATATGGATTTGAGTTGCATTGAACTTTACTTTTTTGTTTTGTTTTGTTTTTTTTTTTTTTTTTTTTTTTTTTCCAATATATGAAAAGAGAACCAAATTTTGTAGACAATGAAATAGATTTTTTTTGTTTTCCTATCTAAGTGTGTTTTTTGGAAGCTCAAGTGACAAGATTGTATTGCTGCTCGATATCAAAGGATTGCCGACATTTTCTCAAGTAGTAGTTAGTAGGAAAGTGTATTGTAGAAGAAGTCGTCATCTATTACAATCTATGGCAGCATTTTGAAGTCATGTCTCTTCTTTTCTTTGTATGTATATAGTGTTCAAAGTAGAGCTTTGAACCAAAAATATATTGTATTTTTTTCTTTGCTATAATACAATAGCTATATAGATCTCTCTTTTATTGCTATGGTGCAGCAATCTTGTATCGCTTGGTTCTTTCCTCATTATGATTGCTATTGTGGTAGTTAAGATAGAATGGTATTTTGTGTATTAATTTCCCCATTGTCATATTGTAGTTTGGTCACTATGTAAAAATAATGCATACACACACATACACATACATATGTATATATATATTTTAATATATAATTTATTATACAATATAGTGAGAGCCATATTATTAGATTTAATTAGTTACAAAATGTAATTAGATTACTAGTTTGAAGTAGTTAGTCTAATATGTCTACTATTAAGATTCATTTTTATATTGATAATAGTTTTATATATTTAGAGCCATCTTTGTTAGGCATTGTTGATTCTTAAAATCTTGTTTTATTTCTTTCATTTGGTGTTTAGAGCACATAATATGTAAAAATTATTAGAAAAAATACTAAAAAATAATTTTTATAATGAAATGAATAGTTAGGCCATCTATATAGATGAATGGAGATACATGATGAAAATCTCCATTCTTATTGGCTAAAAATTATGTCCAATAGGCTTCAAGGAGGCTGCCTAAGGTGTTATTAGGAATTAGTATTATTCTTTTAAGAACATTTGAAAATCAAAGGTTAAGATCATAAAATTTAGGATTTTTAGTATGTTTTTGGTAAAAAATTTGTATAATTTGGAGTTTTTTTGGAGATATAGGTGCTCAAAATCAAGGTATTGATTTTGTAGCTACTGTCATTCTTTGAAGCATAGCATATGCATGTAAAGGACTTTTCAAGATTGGATTATGTGGTTGAAAAGTTAAAAGAGTTATATTTTACATGTAAAAAGTAAAAGTTTTGGATTTTATTCGAAAGAGCAACAGCTGCTTGAAGACAATGCTTCTAAATTGAGGTTTGTCAATGAAAAAAATTTGATGAAGGATTTGGTTCTAGTCACATCTCGGATATTTTGATGAATCTTTAGCTAAATTTTTTTAAAAATATGTATTATTGTGTTATAAATCTATATACCAAATTTTGTGGCATTTGAATTTTGGATTTTTGAGATATAAAGAAAATAGTACTTGAATGCTTATAAATTGGGATTTAGAGTATGTGTTAGGATTTCTAAGATGCCAAACAATCTGCAATAAATTTATGATTTATTTATTTTGTAGTAAAGCATAAGGATAAATGCTACATTATCAAGAATTTGAAAAAAATTTAATAATTGGTTTAAGAAATATGAAATTTTAAAGTTTGAGGAAAAAAAATCCTTTAGTAGAAATAAAATATTTTGAAAGAATTTTGCTGCAATTTGAAAATTTTATGAAAAATAAAGTATTTTTTAAGAGCTAAGACTTTACATATATGTTGAAAGTGGATATATAGAGCTATAATAATAATATAGTATAAAGATGAGTTCTTGAAAGGAGATTATAAATTTTCTTTGAAATTATAGACAAATAGTTAGTTATGATTTGATATAGCAAAGGATGTTAGGAAATTTTTAGATGCTTTAGAAAGCCTTATGTACAAACCTTCTTGAATATAAAAGGTTTTTATTAATAGAATATCTTTCATATCATTGTATTTATTTATCTTTTATATAAAAAATAAATTACTTATTAGAGCTTGGCTATTAAATTAAAGCTAAATTCTCTACAACTAGATATCTATTGTATTTTTAGATCATAAATCATGTCATACAACACTGTCATTGATATGATATTTTTGAGCTATGTTATTAAAGATTTCAAATTATTGATCATTATTATCTTTTCTTCTTCAATGCCTATAAGGACTTCTATCCATTTTGTCTTCAAATTGTTGAATATGTTGCCACAATTTTTCTCTTCTTTTCTCTTGAATTTTTTGTTCTATTCCATAATTGATAGTGCGATTAAAGTTTGGAGTTGCTGCAATACATTAAGATGATTTTAATTTTTCTTTGTTGTAATATAGAAAGTAAGAATGAGGGAAAAATTAGATGTATTATACTTCATCTACACTAGATTTAGAACTAATGGTTGCATTACTAATTTTAAAAGAAAGTTCCAAATTTCTAATTATTCTCTTCCTTTGATTGCATTATCTCAATGGTATTATGGCTTGTATTTGGTTACTATTATTTATTGCAGCTATAACATTGATTGTCATTGGCATTATTGTAGACAGAATATTGTAGTCGCTTAGTGTTGTATGAAGAGTGAATTGTGAATTGAGATAATTAAGACTATGAAGTTTTATTGATATAAAGTTAATTTTTGTTATTGCAATTATTTCTCTTCAATAATGAAAATTGATGTAGTCAACTATGAAGCAAAGACTATGGTACAATACAATAGAGTTCTTAAGCTAGACAAATTCTTATCCGTATAAATCTTTTGTTGTAGCACAAATAGCATGTTCATATTGAGATAGTAGTTGTAAATTCTTCTTTCATTGATGTTTAGAAGGGATTATGCAGCTATATTGATCAAGTTAATTTCTTGTAATTGACATTTTTGTTCTAAATTGGTTGTCAATAGCCACAATTCTAATGGAATTGGATGTGTGTATTATACAAGTTGTAAAAAATACGTGATTAGCAATGAAGTTTTCAAATTTGATCATGTTTCATACTTGTGGCATTTTTTTTTTTTTTTTTTTTTTTTTGAATCAATATTGATATCTAAGTTCTATCAAGTACTTCAAAGATTACCCCACCTAGTTGGAATCAGCTTTAAGTTCACAATTGTATGTTGGTGGATTGAAAGCTTCAAAGGTGCAAAGTTGCAACCTTTATCAACTTGTCACTTCAAAAGTTTTATTGTGAAACAGATTGATTATCTATATATCTTTGAGGTGCTTTGACTTGATAAGAAATATCATGAGACTTAAAAGAAGTATTTTTAATATCATAAATAAGAGAATGAAAAGACATAATTGAATGAATTTGCTTGAAAAGGATTGAATCAAAAATTAATATTGATTTTATTACTCAAAGTTGAAATTGCTTAGACTTCAAGATGACGATTCTTTGTTGTTCAAAAGCTACATTTTCTTCTTTTGGTGTAGGATAAGAATACCTAAAAAGTATGTCTAATAAACTTTATTATTTTTTAAGTCGATATATGATCTCAAAATAAAATCTTAATAATGATATATTTCAACAAGCTTAGAAATAATTTGACACGTATGCTAATATGAAATACTTAAGGTTCTTATGATCCATATACACCATAATTGAGTTGAAAGCATCTTGTAGATAATAACACCATTCTTGAAAAAAAATCTACAATTGCAA